GCCAAAGTCCTATCATACTATATCACTCTAATGATTGAGGCCAATTAAGGTCCTACCGTCACATACCATTTGTTAATGATTGAAGCCAAAGTCCTATCATACTATATCACTCTAATGATTGAGGCCAATTAAGGTCCTACCGTCACATACCATTTGTTAATGATTGAAGCCAAAGTCCTATCATACTATATCACTCTAATGATTGAGGCCAATTAAGGTCCTACCGTCACATACCATTTGTTAATGATTGAAGCCAAAGTCCTATCATACTATATCACTCTAATGATTGAGGCCAATTAAGGTTCTACCGTCACATACCACTATCTACTGATTGAAGCCATGGTCCTATCATACTATCATACTCTATGCCACGAGCATAGGGGCCCCATGCTTAATCTATGTATGTTGTGACTTGCTGTCAATAAATAAATAAATACTATACTATACTAAACTATATTTGTTATTGGAAAATGCATATTTAGCTTGTGTTTTACTAAAGATAATGAACAATATTAATGTTAATTTTTATGATAACAATTAAGTGGACATTGGCATTCGCCTCTGATTTAGTATAACGGTCACCTCTGCATTAATCTTTGCTGTACAGCATGTTTTTTAATATTTAAACACTAATTTTGTTAGAAGTACCAATATAATAAATGTATGTTAAATTTTATCGACCATTTACATTTTTATTCCTGTGAGTAGTTGTCTAGGTAGTGTAGTGTTGACGATAGTAGAGTGGCGCTGACTACTGGGGTGGTGTGAGCTGGAACTAGAGGGTGACAAGAAGCGTGTCAACTGAGTAACAATAAAATCGTGTTTTGTGACTAATAATCGTCTATCTTTAACTAGTCTATAAACATAACACTGGCGACGAGGATGTCTTTACCAGAATTTGCAAAGTTTGACGTCAATTCTGATGGCAATATCGGGCCTAGATGAACCAAATGGCTCGCAAGATTCAACAGACTCATGACGGCGCTTGATATCACAGATGCTACTCGCATGCAGGCGCTTCTCCTACACTATGGGGGACCTGAAGTGGACGAAATATACGATACACTGACTGTGCCGGCAGCTACAGCCGAAGTCGACATTTTTAAACAGGCCAGTAAAGCCCTTACGGATTATTTCACGCCCAGAACTAACACAGCTTTTGAAGTGTATAACTTTCATCAATGCAGTCAAAATGCAAAAGAAAACGTTGATGCCTACGTTACTAGGCTCCGGGCACTTGCAAAAACGTGTGGTTTCGCTGAGGCCGATCGCGAAATCGCAAACCAGATCATATACTTGCTGGCTCATCGCAAGTTTTACGCCGCCGTGCACTTCGCACAGAGATGGATTTGGACGACATGATCAAGACAGCTAGAGGGTTGGAAATCGCCGACGCCCAAGCTGCGAAGGTAGAGTCCGGACAGAGTCAAGCTACTGTCCATCACGTTGCAGACCATGGTCATCACGCTGAAAGACGCCATGGAAACCAGCGTAAACACCGATCGTCATCACGAGATCGACATTCGTCGCAGCGAGGCCGCAATCGAAGCCAAACTCCTCAGCATCATCACGATAGTGGGCGTCCACATCCAAGTCACGGTCGACAACGTCGTAACGTTACCTGTTTCTTCTGTGGTCGCTCTCAACCTCATCAGAAAGGGGATTCCCGCTGCCCAGCTACTGACAAAGACTGCACCGCATGTGGGAAAGTAGGACATTTCGCTATCGTATGTCGATCAAGTGCGTCATCAACGTCTCGTGGACCAAACCCGCAGGCTTCTGTTCATTCTGTTCAACTCGCTGATTCTTTTGAGGATGAATATTTCTTCTCGATTCGAAAGGAAGTGATCGCCAACAGCTAACGCGCACTGTCAAAATTAGGCCGCAGAATCTGAATCCAGGTGATCGTGGAACTTTCACTCTTGATATGATGGTTGATACTGGCGCGTCAGTCAATGTTATAGATAGCCAAGTCTACAACATGTTTCGCGATCAGTGGTCAAGTCCCGTGAAACTTGACACACCGTCAACCGCTGTCTATGCCTATGGTG